TATACAAAACACTTGCATGATTTGTAAACTAAGACATTTAGGGCCAGATTTACTAAACTAGCGCGAGAGCACAATTCCAAAACAGCGCCGATGGGCGTGGAAATTTCTGCAGGTGATTTAGTGACAGCGCACAAATTAAAGAACACAGACGCAACATCTCATTTACATATCGACCAACTCAATATACCAAGCGCAGCACAAATTAGCATAGTCACAAATAAGCAGAGCCAATGCTCATCAGGTGTCGGTGATCTACTTACGACGCAGGCGCAAAATAGTTTAAGACATGTTTTTTTGGCCGTTAAAATAATGGTGCAAATACCAGTAATTTGATGAGTGCAAACGTTAGTAAATCGTGTTGCGTGATTCGTTTTAATACTCTCCTCCCATAAATTTTGCGTCTGAAAGGAAAACTCCTACAAATAAATATATAATTAGGTCAGGTGCAAAAATAACTGTCCAACGCTAATTCTTCACTGCGCATCGTTAGTAAATTCTGACCGTATATTTTAACACCAAAAGACGGTTTGCGCTGGTGCAAGCTGTTAGTAAATCTGGCCCTTATTGTTTGCATCACATAACCAGCCACATATGTATGGCTTTTCCAAGACAGTAAACTTGCTCGGTAGCCCACCTGGTACGAGTTCAGTGAAACACGCCAAACAGCTCATAGACTAAAGCTAAAATGACATGGTTGCTTTAGCAAATGTGTTTATCTCACTTTTTTCTTTTATAGTTACATTTTTAATTTTGAGTTGCACTGATTTCAGAGCCAGAGAATAACTTTACATATAAACAACTTTACATAGTACATATTATACTGTATGTACTTATGTATGTATGTCTTAATCACAATGAAACATGGGTTCATGTAATGGCAAATATATAGTTTTGGAAAAATTTTACAATTAATTGAACAATGTATGGGTGAGTAAACATTTTTTTTCTACACTTGAAGTCAAGATGTGAAGCAAAATGTTCTGTGAACGTATTTTTATTTTCAGCTTCAACAGACATCTACAGTAAATTATTTGGCAAATAACAATGTTTTGGCAATTAACGTTGCAATGAACAGTTCTATACAGTACACCCTCGAGTTCCTCAGCACAATAGGAATGTGGGTCATTTCGCATTCGAGTCCATAATGCATAGAGGAGATATCATACTCCATGCCGGCGTCAGTGCGACCAGCCTACATGTGTGAGTCAGCAGGGGCTCTGAGTCAGACACCGCTAACACACTCATAATGCAAAGGCTGTTTTAAAGTGTACCAAGAGCTCACAGCCAACATTTGTGCACTGAAGATAAAGATACAGAGGTGAAGAGAGAGAGAGAGAGAGACCACAAATCAATACAAGTCAGTAATTATGGTCAGTAAGTAAATAAGCAATCTCTGATTCACTTTGTACAGCAAGATGAAACCATAAACAGTTCATTCTTTTTTTCACAGTTCACATTTTTTTGTCACAATACATCTTTGTACTGTCATCAGTTCAATAAATCACACTTGAGAATGAGAGAGCTTTTAGGTTTTAAAGTTTTCCAGTCCAACAGTGTTCAGAAGACTAGTTCCTAATCCCAAAAAGATACGGATGTTCATTGTGGAAACCGCTTTAGGGACCGAAAATGGCCTCTCCGTAACACTGCCATCTTTGTCTTCAGCAGGAGACTTCTCTTCCTCTGTGCAAAGGCTCAGAAAGGGCTTATTTTGTCCGTCTCATTTCAGCACTTCATCCTCGCGGCATTCGCTACAGGTTTGAGATCGTCCAACAATACAGCTATTTACAATGCATAAAGAACATTCACGGCAAACCAATTATCTTCGACAAACACTGATCTGAGACGTGTAGTGGAGCTTGTGTTACTACACGTCATCTCGATTTTCATCAGAGTTCATATAAAAAAGTCTGTCTCTTTGTGCACATTTGAGTAATATACAGATGGACATGGTTAAAATAGCACACTTTTTTTCAAAACTGATGGTCCCTCATGAATACAAAAGTTAAAAACCCAGGCATGAATTATTTAACCGCTGATGACGGTGTTACTGTTCATAAAGTATGCTCAATTTGACAGACACTGCAACACAACAACAACAATAACTCACAATCATGTGTGCTTCAGACATAAAAACAACAAGAATATATGTGATTCATGACTTGTGAGTGCCTGGGCCTGGAAATGATGGATAATTCTTATAAACAAAATGTTTACCACAAATATCAATTCAAGTGTGCTTTTTCATATTAGCAGAGCAAAAATCAATGTCTTAATTGCTTTTGTCTTGGTTTCCAGTAAAAATATGTAAACATCCTTAAAAAAAATTTTGGCTATTGCTACAAATATACCCCAGCGACTTAAGACTGGTTTTGTGGTCCAGGGTCACATTTTTTCTTGAGGTCAGAGCTGGGTAGATTACTTACAAATTGTAGTCCATTACTGATTACAAATTACATGAGAAATATTGTAGTTTGTAACATAATCCAGATTACATATATTATGTAAATTAGTCTGACTACTTTTTGAATGACTTTTAGATTGCTTTTGATCTAATTTATCACATAGACTTTAATGGGATTATTGTGTACCATACTGATATAAAGTCACAACAAAAAACAAAGAGAAAGAAAATATATTCCATTCTTTGTTATCAACATCATGAAATGCATTAAACATTACATTACAGTGAATAATGTGTAATCATGTAATCCATAAAAAGTAACCGTAATCTGATTATGAGCATTTTAAAACATAATATAATCTAATTACAAGTACTTAATTTTTGGAATCTGATTGAGTAATCCAGATTACATGTAATCAGTTACTACCCAGCACTGCTTGAGGTACATAATTGTTTATGATAATAAGACCTGTTTCACTGAAAATATAATCGTTTTTTAATCTACCAAATGCATTCCATTAGCTGAAACAGTAGTGCATGCTGATTGCAATGACAAAGCCAGGGGTTCAAATCCCAGGATAAAATGTATACCTTAAATTCATGTAAAATACATCAATATAAATAAATGCACTTTTTTGTTACCCATTGGCTTGTTTACGTGCTCGCTTATTTATTTAATTCTTTTTCAATTAATTAATTCTTTTTATTATTATTATTTATTTTGTTTTAAGGATAAAGCTAGCAAAATTCAGTTAAGTTTATGCTTAAAATGAGGAAAAATATATTTTGGCACATTGGTTTTTTTCTTAATTTAAAGGTACAGTTCACCCCAAAATGTAAAATTCGAAAGTCATGAGGATGAATAAATTAAGGCAGAAATTTAATTATTGGGTGAACAAAACATTAACTTCTCAAAATGATGCATGATTTATGCTTAAAACTATAATTTAAAAAAATAAAGAAAAGAAAAATATTTCCATACACTATTTCTTCTCAGGTAAAAATATGTTGTTCGGAAGATTTTTAGATTTTTTACTACTGGAAACAAAAAAAAATAGCTTTCAAGAAGGTTTTTTTTTTTTTTTGCGCAGTGACAGTATCAGCAGCTCAGTCTGTGATCCACAGCTGAAAATGTTCTCATTGATCAATAATAGAGTTCTTCACCCTCATCTAATATTAGACTGACTACATGTATGTAAGCACATCTAAAACAGTCCTTCACCATGAAATGAAAGCCGATCTGAGAAATGGGATGATGTGAATCCCAGAGATATTAGATCAGAAGCATCATATTTCAGAAAGAAAACTTTGGCAGCAAACAAATCTTCTAAGCTTGCATCTGGAAAAGCGAGTCATTATGCTTCTCACATTATGATTTCATTTGTCTCGTACTAAATGCGCGTCTAAACATTTGGGGAAAAAGTCTTCTGCATTCCTGTGAATATGGCACCACCCACATGAGTGTATGTATATTAGCCTCCTGCTCTCGATTCAACACTTCACTGTTAAACAAAAGTGACATTTAAATATTTCAATGACAGAACTTCACAGTGCACATTGATACTTCACAGTATCACATATCCAAGCCATGTAAGCTACTTAACAGTGATATTATCAGCAGTTATTCAGTACAGCAAAACATTATCAGCAATGACGCATTTCTGGCATGTTTGTTTTTCAGTAGCAAATGCATGTTGGTCACTAAGGTGTCCATTATGGCATGGTAAAATATGAATGTGCAAAACAACATCCAAAACCATAGAAATGAAAGGCAGGTTGTCTCAAAATACATACACATTACATTTACAGTACATGGACATTTTGCACAACATAAGTTCTGTAAACACTGCATAGATGACTCTAGCACTAACATTTACACAATAACCAATTATATAAATAAAGCATAAAAATCAGAAAGTGCTCGGTTCTCATCAAATAAACAGATTTCCTGTATAATGTGTAGTTAGGTGTATGAAAACAGCAAAACTGAACTTTAAAGCGATATTTCACACAAAAATTAAAATTTTCTCGTTTAGTCAACCTCGTATCATTTCAAGTCTGTATGACTTACTTTCTTCTGCACTGCAGAACAGAAATGAAGATTTGGAAAAATTACTTTTGTGTTATTTTGGACCCTTTTGACTTTCATTGTATTGGTAAAAACTATAGAAGCCTGTTTCCACTGAATTAAAAAACCCTCACAATTCTGACTTTGTTTCTCAGTACGACTTGAAACTGACTTTGTCTCAATTGTTTTGTTTTTTTCTGCCATAGAATGAAAAAAAAATAAAAATCTCACAAATATGACTTTTTCCCTTGCAATTACAAGTTTATATCTTACAGTTATGACTTATCTGAACTTTGAGTTGCAATGAACTTTTTTAGATTTTTATTCCGAGGCATAAACAGGATTCCCTCTTCAAAATATCTTCTTTTATGTCCCTCCATGTTAACTCTAAAATGCATGATTTGCATCCAAAATATTTACAAAATATCTTCTTTTGTGTTCCACAGAAGAAAGAAAGTCAAACAGAGTTGGAACAACAACTCTTTCATTTTTCAGAACTTTCATTTTTGGGTGAACTATCCCTTTAAACGAATGTGTGCATTTTGGTCAAAATCAGCTTTCCAAATAAATACATACTAAACTCTAAACTGCATAATTTGCGTCCAGATTAATAAACGCGTGAAACCGAACACGAAAGAAATGTACATCTACTTTGGGACATTTTACAAAAATAAAAGTCTGCAAGTGCTCACAACAGACCCTCATTGGAATTAAGTTATATGAAGCTCTTATTGTCAAGCCACTTTCATTAATCTGGTCCAGTGGTTCAGTTGTGAATTAACCCCAATACCATTTGTCAAGATTGTTAATTGCTTTGTACTCATTGTGCCTTCTGACGTAATCGCAAGCCAGACACGTGTGCTCGGCCCAGAAGTACGCCTTTTTCACCTTAAAGTGTTTACGCCAGTCAAAGTACTTCAGGTAAAGCTCCTCGTTTTTGTCAAGGAACAGGAGATAATCAGCCAGCTCCTTCGGAGACGGGAAGTCATCAACGTGGATGAAAGCATTTCCCTGCACGAAGTTCTGATAGTTCTCCCTTGGTGGTCCGAGCACAACAGGTACGGTGCCAACGGAAAGCGGGTTGTACAATTTCTCAGTGATATAGTCTTTGTGAATCGAGTTCTCGAATGCCAAATAGAATTTACAGCTTGCGATTGTAGGGAAATAGTCCTGGTCGGAAATGTACTCACCAAATGCTTGTCCATATGCATGAACCTCGATGTGCTTGTAGAGTTCATTGTAGTATTTCACTCTGACGTGATCTGGGTTCCAATTGCTGACGATCCAACAAATCAGCTTGTTCTTGCTTGGCGGCACGAAGTCCTCCTCTCCTTGGGCTGCGACAATCGATCCATAAGGCACTTCTATATCAGCATCCTGCCGATAGTTTAGAGTTAAATTAAACAAGTTTTCAATTCCAGGTAACTGAGATGAATGCGAAGGTGATTCGAAGTTCATCCAAATCCATCTCTGCAACGTGGGCCGATACGCCGGTGGCATGTTGGACAGGTCGCTGGTGATGTCCCTGTGATGTATGACCACGGCGTCGGATTTGTTGTAAAGGTTTCGGTCGGCGGTGATGAAGCAGCCATCGATGCTGAACAAAGAGCTGCAGACGTTCAGGTCGTAGGTTTCGCCGAAAGGCCAAAGCCAGACCAGGATGGTGGTCTGGTTCTGCTCACTTCGGGAGGAAAGGAGGCTCTTCACTCGGGCTGTGGATGTTTCTGACTCGACCGGGCCTGACAACCAGCTTGTAGACGGTTTGATGTACATTAAAAACAAAGTCACAAAGCATCCTAATAAAAAGATAAAATAGATAAAGATGAAGGCAAAAAAAAAAAAAGGTTATGGTTCATTATATGAAACAGCTACATATTAGGTAGAGCCAGGGTGCGATTTGCCGGGGGGTCTACGCATCCCTGCCCCTGCTGAATTATTTTTATCTCTGGTGGGGATAAAAAACAGCACCGAAGTCCAGATCTGAATCAAATGATTTGCGATACGCGATCCGATTGGAGCGCTTCAAAACAGTGAATCATTTTGCGACGGTATCCCGTGGAATTGGGCTACTTTAACACTGTTGCCACGGGTTGTTTTTCATGTCCACGGGTTGAAGCGACTCCAATAACATGATATTTATCCCCTGGAATGCTAATTTTAGCAGGGGAACCCCGCCAAAAAACGTGTATTTTACCCCCCGGAACGCGATTTTTAACTGGGGACCCCCTCGAAACGTGATTGGGCTAGTTTTAGGCTAGTTTTGAGTAGCGATTGGGCGGGTTTTCTTGTGAAAACCTGGCAACTGATTCGGAGTTTCAAAAAGCTCTGTTGATACTGTAAATGTTCTTTGCTCGCTTTCTCTATATAATTTATTAGTTGCTTGAATAACCATGGAAATTAAACAATTAATCGGCCTAATGTTTTTATTAAATTGTGATCACGATAAATAGTCTACAGTTTCCGTCGTATTAAAAACATTTCATGACATGACACACATTATCTTGTACTTGCCTAAAAAGACGGGTTTATGATGTGATTTGTTAACAGATTACACTAACATTAGGTTACTTTAAAGCCTTGCTCTGGAGTTGGGTCAACCTCCGCCTATGGAGAGAGAAAAAAGTTTTCAAAATCCCCCCCCTGCTTTTTTACACAAATCGCCCCCTGGGTAGAGCTATATTTAATTTTTTACAGGAATGAAAATGAGGCTGTGAAAGACAGAATTACAGTGTGTTCAATGGATTGTAGGCCTACTGTTGTTTAACAACATACCGACAAAAAGACTTTCAGTAGACAAAATCTCCATAAACCAGTTTTGAAAGTTGCGAGTTGGCAAAAATTACATGATCAATTTAAAGTCATTTCTTTAAGACGTCTTTAAGTTTTGATGAACTGCATTGTGCCATCTAAAGCTAAATAATGATACACTGGGTCCACCACTGACAGTTCTTTGACCTAAAATGACCTGCTGTGCTGTGTTTCTGTCGGACAGGGTATATTTCTGTAAATTAATTGTTACTGTGCATGATGAGAGTGTCTCCAGTACACTGCCAACACAGGTGAATGACAACACAAAATATAGCCTACTTCTGTATGTACATAACTATGCAGGAAATATTAATATTAATATATTGCATTAAAATTCAAGGTCTTATACCATGCATCATTTTGCTCAGAACAACAGTATAAATGCTTGGAAATATGCAATAGCCAGCATTATGAAAAACTGAAAAATGTAAGCATGTCTTTATATTTTCATTATATTATATTATATTATATTATATATTATAAAATGGCATTTTACTAGCAAATCAGTTAGCATAGGAATTAACTGTTGTGTGTATTGCTATTAATTTGACAGACATTGAAGCTGGTAATCTTAACTGCTTTCAACACATGCTCTTTACAAAATGAAAACAAAACGTACCGTAAATTACTGTGCTAATAACAAATCTAACAAATTACAGTTACATAATGAGAGTTAATGACTGTACAAGGCGAATTAATTTGTTTGCGCAGCCCTAAAAAAGCATGAATCTCTATTCAGTTTTCAGAATGAGCACTTTGACATTTTGCTATACATATGTTGAGGTGTCTCATCCATCAGCTGATTATATGTATGCTGCTGTAATGAAGATGAACATAAAATCCTAGACTTTATAATAGAGAAGCATTTACATGTCTAGGATGTTTGACTGTACAAGGACACTTCAGATATTAAAATGCTGGCTGGTTTACACATTGAAGTCGTGATTTATTAAGACAGTAGAATGTGTGTGTGTGTGTGTGTGTGTGTGTGTGTGACTAATCAACTAATCACAAGCACAGAGAAATCCAACATAAATGCAAAGTAAATCATCTTAAAAATTCACCTGACAGATTTGCTGATATCCAGAAGGTAAAATGATTGTATGTTCCAGTTTCTTCTTTTTATTAGCAGAAGAATGTCAGTCTTAAAAAAAAGACAGAAAATAGATTACATCACTGTACAATCAATATCAGCTGGTATGTCAAGCATTTTAAGCATTAAAGCTGCAGGCTGACTATAAAACCGAATATCAAATAACACTTTGTGTAGGGTGGAAACAAACATTTTAGACCGGAGAACCAAATGAGGACGTTTAATATTTTGTAACTGAAACTTCATATTATTGTATCACTGTTCAGAATATAAGGGGAGATAAGCTTCCCTCCGTGTTTCTGGTAGTCCTGGGCCTGTTGTAGGATTGTATCCTCAAAAATAATTCTGGATCATTACCAAGAACATTCAGACAATCAGTTTTGCACATGGGAACAGTGCCATCTTCAGGATGTCAACAGATAATAGAACCAAAAGGCCTATTTACACCAAATTTCCACCATGGCAAGATGTTAAAATGAGCGAACAGTTTTAGGATCTAGAAGCACTAGATTTTGTCCTCTGCATACATTCTCAGAACAGAATCCATAATCTTTTTTTCTTTTTCTTTAATCTATTTTTCTTTGTTCATTGAAAATTATGTCATTATTTCCATTATCCGATATTCCTATACTTATAAGGGTCTTTCTTAAAACTGCATTCCAAACTGTTCATGCATGCAAATTCTTCAAAAGCAGACCAATGACTTCAAGAGGCTATTAAAAACCATTAGTATCAAAATATACCGAATAAACATTCAATTAACTTATTCAATAAACTTCAATGGACTGAATAAAGAGCTCAATTAACTGTACAATTTCACTGGGACATCTGCCAATAAAAAACTCTTCACAGCTTCCACTTAATAACATCCTTTTCTGTTTAACTGGATGTGCTTATCTGACACATATAAGCAAATTAACAATTGAAGAAATCAATTAACAAACCAGTGAGTCACATATCTTTTACATTCATTAACTTTGACAGTAACACTTCACAATAAGGTTCCACTTGTTAGATAACAAACTAACAATGAAAAATACTTCTGCTTAATAACATCAAAAGTTGTATCTGTTAATATTGTCATGGACTTGAGCTTTAATGAACTATGACACATATAAGCAAATTAACAATTGAAGAAATCAATTAACAAACCAGTGAGTCATATATCTTTCACATTCATTAACTTTGACAGTAACACTTCACAGTAAGGTTCCATTTGTTAGATAACAAACTAACAATGAAAAATACTTCTGCTTAATAACATCAAAAGTTGTATCTGTTAATATTGTCATGGACTTGAGCTTTAATGAACTAACAATGAATAGTTGTAATGTTAACAAGGATTAATAGATACTACAACAAATGCATTGCTCGTGGTTAGTTAATGTATTATCAACTAATGCGACCTTATTGTGAAGTGTTACCACTTTTACATGTGCAGGTATGCAGAGTAAAAAGCAGGAAGCAAGCAACGTGACAATAAAAATGACGTTTTCTGTATATAATGAAATGATTTGGGATACGCACACGTTACACTACAACACTGCTGGTTGAGAAATGAGCTTCGTTTCATCTCTGCAGTGTCCATTTGCTATTAATCCACATGAAAGAGCTGTTTAAAAGGTTTATCAGTGCATTTGAGACTCAATCATCTTATATGAAAGCAAAGCTCTGTAAAAGAGCGGGACACAGATGAGGCTTCTGGGAAATAGATTATACACCTCACATCCAGCTCACATCCAGTACATAACTGAATATAATAGTTGCTAATGCATGATATATTTTTCAAGGTTTACAAACTTTGGGCTGTTTAAAGGTCCTGAGGGGAGGGTCTCGTAATTAGCAAAGTGTTTGGCATTTCATATACTGTTTCCTAACTGCCAACTGTATATTTTTGGCCAGCAATACACATGTGATGCATGATTTTATTAAAGTAAACAAAGGTTGATGAATGTTGCATGCTTGTGTCTCTCTGGGAGTCTTTGAAAAGAGAGGCTTTTTGTTTTAAATGTATTGTGATGTATTTGGGACACAGAGTTGCATGCTGGTAGTTGGCTTCGGTGTTCGCGTCTAATAAATAGAAGATGTGGATGAAGGAAGATGAAAAGAAGAAGCATTAAATATGAAGCATTTGTCTAGTTTATTTAGCAGGCTTTACGAATTCGTGTCTGTCCCATCAGTGACATGCTGGTAATATATTTAATGAACACACATCTAAAATCGTTCAGAAAAACATAAACGATACCGTGATACCGTGCAAGGTGCTGTGCTTTCGCCAGTGATGCTGAAGGTCATCTTAAAACAGACTTGTCACACGCATCTGACATATTACTACACGAAATATGGCTATTCCTTAAATATGACACGCTCCCTCTCTCTAGCATCTGGACTGCTTTGTCTATTTTAAGCAAAACCGCATCGTATCCATGCAAAAAGGACGCATGAAGCATCCCACGAGAATGATCGTCCCTGAGCTCGTGCCATGTTTAATTATTATAACTCAAAAATCACCCAAGAGATGAATGAAAAAATGATATTTAAAGCCTGAACTCGTGTCGTACAATATATGCAAAGCATACAGGCAACCTTTATATCAGTCAATCGTTTGTCTCACCTGTCCATCAGCAAACATCCTTGAGGGAAAGCCACATCATGCGCTTCTTTTATTTACGTCCCACACACCTCGCATATCGGAATGGTGCTGAAAAATCTCCGATGATGGCAATATTCGGAGAGGATGCACCTGAACCCATAGCCTTCGCGTCAGTGCATCACTGCGTTTTGCAATGTGTCCGCAATGATGACAGACTCAAATCAGCGCTTGCAAGTCAAAACATGCAAGATCCTATGGGTCAGAAAGGGAGAACGCGAACAAGTGCGTCGCTGGAAAGGACGCCATGTA